TGATTTTTTTAGATAACTGTTTTTTCAACCGAAATAAAAATACTGTTTTTCTTTTTTGCAAAGCCCAAAGTGTTTCAGAAAGAGACATCAAAGCTATCATGGAAAACTTTTAATGCTTTTCTCCCCTTCTTGTATGTGCCCTTGTGTTGAAGACTTTTTGTCTATCTCCCCCAAGATCTGCAGGAGTTTTTCCTGATTTATAGCTACAGTCTTGCTGTCAGGCTGGTGTCGTTTCACAGGCGCTCGTCCCGCTTTCTGCATTTTCTTGACCTGATGGAAAAGATTCGCTCCTGGTAGGGACTCCAGAACGTACGCATCTTGTCTTTCAATTCCAGCTGGGGTGGCCTTCAAGGCTGGTTGCAATTTTACCATAGTTAAGCTTTCACGCAAATACCTGGGGAGGGGGTGGGTTTGTATAACAGAGGCCAGAAGACCCTTAAATCCATCATGGCAGGAGCTCAGATTCCAAAGAATTAGAACATCCAAGGAGTCCTTTCAGGAACTTTAAAAGCCAAATAAGCCAACTTGCCAGAGGTTTAGCTATTAAGCTGTCTATCGGGTATAGTGTTACATTACACAGATAAAGCTCTTTCCTGTTGCTGCCCTTTGCAATAAAGTTCCACTTAGTCCATTTACACAAAGAACTAGATTCAAGGCTCAGACGCTCCAGTAAAACTCCGAAGCAACTCTATGGAAAACACTAGGCTTATTCCGAATTAAATATTAGGAAGAGGCATTGAATATATTCTTTAATGCTCCTCTTTTTAAAAAATGTTATTTCAAATGGAAGATGATCACGGAATAAACAGACATAAATACTGCACTGAAATTGGTCCTTCCTCTTTCCGAGCAAAAGTTAGAGCAATGATGATACTGATGTAAGTCATTTTTACTGGTTTTCGTACATGTAATGTATAACGTAACATAACTAGAAAAATTAGCATAGACATAAATAATGATTCATTATTATTTATTTATACCTTGCTTCCAAGAAACTCCAGGTGGCATACAGGGTCCCCCCCCCATCACATTTTATCCTCCCAACAACCCTGTGAGGTAGGCTAAGAGACAATGGCTGGCCCAAGGTCACCCAGTGAGCTTCATGGTCAAGTGGGAATTTAACCCTGGTCTCCCAAGTCCTAGTCCATCACTCTAGCCACTAAACCACAGTGACTCACTTAATCAAAACACACACCTCATCTCTCTAGTGATTAGGTAAGTATTCATGTCTTTATAATATTCATCTATTTAGTTTTACTACAGGATTCTCCCATCTTATTGTCTCAGGGTTGTATGGAAACATCCACCCACAGCAAGATCTTCTCCAACTAATGTATCAACAAGTATAGAGCTAAATAATTAGGATGTGGAAGCAAAAGAGGAGAAGGAATGTTAATTTGCCACTTTCTCGAAAGGCTTAGATTTTATACAGTCGCACCTTGGATCTCGAACACCTTGGCTCCCAAAAAATTAGCTTTCGAACGATCGAAACCCGGAAGTGAGTGTTCTGGGTTTCGAACATTCTTTTGGAAGCTGAAAATCTGACGGGGCTTCTGTGGCTTCTGATTGGCTGCAGGACCTTCCTGCAGCCAATCAGAAGCTGCGCTTTGGTTTTCAAACGTTTTGGAAGTCGAACGGACTTCTGGAACGGATTCCGTTCAACTTCCTAAGTACGACTGTATTCTTCTTTTAGAAAATTCAAGGATAGGACATTGCGTTGCATACAGTAAATGCACAAATAGTTAGTCAGTGCATAGCTCAAAGTCTCCTATGCACCATGAGTCCTCTTTGTTGGCTCTCAGCCACTTTTTTAAAATTGGAAGAAGCCTGTCCTTTGTGGATCAGCAGGTCTGAATCTAACCCTTTAGGGTTCAGTCCCACATACACTTCCTGGAGAATAAAGCCCATTGAGCTCAACAGGTTTTCCTTTCAAGTAGACATGCATTGGATTGTGCTGCAGTTAGATGAAACAAATAGGCTTTCAACAAATGGTATTCACGTTCATGTTTTCAGTGGAAAATGAGAAGCACTCTGACATATAGTCAGCCCCAATTAATTACGCTTGTCCGTTATATTTCCTATGATAACTATGCATGGTATTTAGATACATGCTGCCACTTCCCGTTTTGAGAGATTAAAACTACCCCTGAGGTGGGTGAAAAGATTTCATTCAGTGTACTGTACATTCTAAATGTCTCCTGGTGTTTTATCTTTCTGCCAGCAAGGAGGGCAACATTCTCCAAGCCTTTAGTCAGTTGCAGCAATGCTGGCTCTCAGAGTCATCTGCAGCAATTTGGAAATTTCATCAATGCTGCACCTTTGGGACACTTCCTTGGTGTGCTTGCAACAGCTGAAATCCGAGTCAGTAAAGTTACCTTCTAAATTAATGCTTGGACCCCCCCCCCCAAAAAAGGTAGCTGAATCTTCAGAGGTTGTGGAGAAATCCTACCAAAAATGATACAAAACCGAGCACAAATTGTATGGGTTATGTATACATTGATGAAAGCAGGCAAAAGGAGACAGTACAGTGGTAGCTCGGTTTTCGAACATAATCCATACTAAAACTCAGTTTTTGAAAACTCAGTTCAGAAGCCTCAAAATGGAAAACTCAATATGGAAGCTGCGTTTCCGGTTCGGCTTCCAAGGCACATTTGAAAACTGAAGCATTTAATTCCGGGTTTACGAAAACTGAAATGTTTGTCAACAGAGACATTTGAAAACCAAGGTACCACTGTATTACAAACAGGACTGAGCCAAGGTTCTCTGGCACATATTTCTGGGTGTAAAAGTGTTGGGTTGCAAAGCCCCCCCCCCCCACTGAAGACCTACCCAGAACTTTCCCCTTTTTGATGCCTATTCATGGTTACATCAGAACTAAAGTCTTGCTGGTTCAAGCCCATGGCTTTCTGCACAAAAGATGATATTACAGTGGTACCTCTGGTTATGAACTTAATTCGTTCCGGAGGTCCGTTCTTAACCTGAAACTGTTCTTAATCTGAGGTACCACTTTAGCTAATGGGGCCTCCCGCTGCCGCCGCGCAATTTCTGTTCTCATCCTGAAGCAAAGTTCATAACTAGAGGTACTATTTCTGGGTTAGCGGAGTCTGTAACCTGAAGCATCTTTAACTTGAAGCATCTGTAACCTGAGGTACCACTGTATATGCATGCTCCAAGACAATATTTTCTTTTATACTATTTCACATGCCGTGGAAGTAATCTCTGGTATCCCAAACAGGCTCAGAGCACTGGATAGTTTTTGTCTTCTGCTTATGCTTTCCAGTTTAGGATTACCCCTTATGTATTTGACAAATTGGTCCACAAAAGCTGATGCCATCATTTAAGGTGTCACAATGCATCTTTTCTCCTCCTGTCTTTCCAGGTGACAGTGAGGAAGAGAAGAGCAGGGCTCAAAAGCTCTACGGGTTGGCAATGGGCCCTTTGCTAGGGGCTCAGGAGGTGCCTGTCAATGCCCATCGCTGATGCCATCCCTGAGCTTTTGTTCAATGTCTTAGCTCATAGCCCATATTAATAATGAGCACTGTTTGAAACAATGGTTTAAATTATTGAATGGCTGTTTCAATCACTAGCTGCATGCCACAAAGCTACAAAGGCAATACAAAGAAAGAAAATCAGATAAAACTACTATTTATTGGGAAAAACAGATTTTAGGATTGAGCCAATATTTACGGTATTTTCTAATTATCAGTAGCTATGAAGATTTCTTTTCAGATAGATAATGTTACATTACACAGACTTTTAAAAAATAATAATCAAATTTTTACATTTCTCTGTCCTCCAAATACCTTTTGTGATCACCATTCTACACACACACACACACACACACACACACACACACACACACACGATATAACATTAGCCAGGATAATTAAGTTGTTTTGGCTGGCCACAGTAAATCTGATTGCTACATTTTTGTTCAGTTGTGTGTGTGTTTTTAAGGCACATCTCTAAAGCAGATTGCACTTGGTATGCTGGTCGCATTTCTATAGTTTCTCTCAAAGAGTGCCTTTTAAAAAAAAGACTTCCTCCCTTTCTTTGTCTCTTAGCTGCACTGCCAAGGTATTTGATGGTTACAGTTACTTTACTGAATGAAATTCAAGCCAGAGGAACACGCACAGAAATGAATTTATAGCTATTCAAGCCTCGTTTTTCTGTCATAAGATCCTTAAAGTCAACACAGAGCCAGGGAAGATAGCCTGTGGGCTATTGGGAGAAACCGCAGCACTAGTACAAGAATGATACAATTATAGCAGAATTCTCATATGGTCTGTTTTAAAAAAAAATCACATCATTTCCTATTTAAGAAAGGGAGAGGGAGGCAGAGAGAGGTTCAGGAAGGTATGAGACTGGAGGCAGGGGGGCAGTGAAATCATTCACAGCACAGACAGAGGCCTCACACAGATCTTGCCTACGTCTGATTGGTGAGCCTCAGTAAAGCTTTAGCCAATGAGAAGCCTGGGATACCTGGCCATTCATGAAAGCCAGCATGGCACTGTTTTGTTTAAAGAACAGGAAGTGCGGTGAGGGAGGGAGGTGGAGGCAGTCTGTTATCACTTTTCATCAAGGTTTCCATTGTAGCTAAGCAAAACTCTGAACTTTACATTCTGACTTCATTTACTCAAGACATCAAAAAGCTCTGCTTCTTGAAAGATCTCTGGAATAGTGCTCAAGCGGCGTTTAATTCTAGGGGGCCACTTGTTTGTATATTGGAAATCAAATTCTCTCTTTACCAGTATGCTCTTGCCATGAAGTCATTTTTCTGTGCTGATTGAAATCATCTGTTTTCAGTTCTCTGACAAATTAATTGAACTTTCCTCTGACTCAGGGGCCTTCTGACTCTTGAAGCAGATTTTGTCTACATGCCGTCTCCCAGACGAACACAATTTAATCTCCTAGGCTTTAAATGAACTTTATGTTTCCAGAAAGCTAGTGAAAGAAGCATTTGTTCTGGTGATAGCATATTGCTGCTTTTTTTTTTTTTAACAAACGGAGAAAGAATAGAGGGTTATGGAATATTTATTTTACTGCGGCAGATAACTAGCTTTAAAATGCGCTAAGTCAGAGCCCGTGATGCGTAGTGACAGCAGCATTTAAAAATGCTAGTCATAAGAAAAAGGCAGAAGTAATTTCCTGGACATGACCATGGGCAGGGCCATAGCTCAATAGCACATGGAAGCATGTGTTTTGCTTCCACAATGCTTCCAGAATGCCCAACAGCTCCAAAGTAGGAAAAACTATTGCCTGAAATCATCGGGACTATCGCTTGTCAGCATAACCAAAACTTCACTAGCTGGACCTGCATTCTAAACTCTACCCTATTTCTATTGATGTAAATAAAATAAAAAAAGATGAATTCCATTTGGTACAGTGACTGTTTGGTGGTGGTTTCATGCTTTTCTAAAGCCTGAATCCAAGAGTCTACTCATGAGCATCTGAGGCAAAACTAAGTCTTACTGAAATATGCCTTTCTAAACCATCAGATATCCAGGCTTGTCCTGTGCCCTGAAACCACAAATCTTCATGCCCAAGCCAAGCTAGGTGTCTGGGTGAAATTTTGCTGTTTTGCAGCTGGCATTCTGCACATGCTCACAGATAGTTCTGCCTATGGGTCTTTTACGGCACCCTGGCTCTATGAACTGAGCCTAGACTTAAAAGAAGCCCTGCTTCTTGGGTACAGGATGTCAGGGCACATAATAAAAGTTTTCACAAGAGGATGTTAGAGGAAGGGCCATAGCTCAGTGGCTTTGCACGTAGAGAGGCTCAGGTTTAAGCTCTGTCACCTCCGGGTAGGACTAAGCATGCCCCAGTTTGAAGCCATAGAGAGCCACTGCCAGTCAGCATAGAGGAGGCAAGACTGAAGTAGTGAGGAGCTTGATGGGCCAGTGGTTGGGTTTGGTTTAATAAGTCTGTTTATCCCAGACACGTATCTGCCATGTGGTTTGAGTGCCTGAAAGTCGCATAGTAGGGAGGGAAATGTGCATTAGCTCCTAGTCTAGTAGATGTGGAAGATGTGGACATATTATGGATTTATGGAGCAGAATCATCACTTTAAAAAATGTTGCATTTTAAGCATTTTAAGGGCCATTCCTTCTAGTGAGAAGGACTCACTTAACTGATCCCTTAACAACCAGGTGCTTAAAACATCTAAAGGCTGCAATCCTGCACACACCATTATTTGGAAGTAAGTTCCACTACTGTCAATTCTGTGTAGACATTTCTAGGATTGTGCTGTAAACACACACAGAGAGATATACTTTTTTTTGTTGGTGGCTGATGTCAGTTAAATAATTTCGGAAATACGAGTTCCTTCTTTACAGGAACTTAACAGTGACTTCCTTTAGTGAAACCACAGGACACTGTTATTTATGTTATTGTGTCACTTTCGCAAGTATGGATCAGTACATTTTTGTCGTAATATTTTCAAAACCCTCAAAAACGCCCCCTGAGACAACGGAGGGAGCCATTTCCTTTGTCCAAGAGTCTAACAGAAACATCTGGGGGGTCCCAACTTCTCCCTTCCATATCACTCAACTTCTGTTCGGTCCCAGGCCGTCTTGGACTTCCACCTCCCAGTCGGCAACAGAAGCAGAAGTGATAAAATACAGTCGGGTTGGTGGGGAAGCTATTCTTGCTCGCCTTCCAGCTGTACTGGAAACGGCAAGAACAGGATATCTCATCAAAACAGCCTCTTGTTACATAACATCCACCCGAGTTTTGCAGAAACAAGCATTCTGGCTCCAAGAAGCTTCGCAGGAATATTTCCGAGCGCTTATTTACATGAAACCTTTCGAGGTTCACTTATCGCTAGACGGAGTTTGCTGTCGGATGAGCCAACTGGCAGAGATGGAGTAAAGAGGCATTTTGCTCATCTTGAAGAAATCAGACAGCTGAATACATACATATAAGGCCATTCTTTTGAAGAACATCAGAGCCCTGCAGAATCAGGTCAAGGCTTCATCTAGGCCAGCATCCTGTTTCATACAGTGACCAGCCAGATGTCTCCAGAGGGTCTGCAAGCAGGGCGGGAAGGCAAGCGCCCTTCCCAGCATCTGTGTTGTGATAGAGACGGACAGACAGACAGACAGATAGACCTTCCACGCTCTGTGGTGGTTTGTCTCTCCTCCATGAATTTGGTGTGACCGTCACTGCACTCTGTGCATACCCAGAGGTTACAAACAAACCACTGGCTAGAAGTTTCTAAGCTGGGGATGGGCAAGCTGTGGCTCTTCGGTTATTGCCAGACTCCAGTTCTGATCAGCTTGTGGCCATCATTGTCTGTAGTCAAGGATGGCGGTAGTTGTAGCCCAGTTTAGCCACCCCTGTTGCCATGCTTCATTGTACATTCTTTGCAGTGAACTAGTACAATGAATGATTCTAGCACCTTACTTCCCAATTGTAAACATGCTGGGTTAGATCCAGAAATTTGTTTATGCAACAGAGCATTCTTGGCTCCTCCATCTGCTACAGTGTGGTGTAGTTGTTAGAGTCTTCAGCTAGGACCTGGGAGAGCGCAGTTCAAATCCTCATTTAGCCATGAAGCTCAATGGGCCAGTTATTCACTCTCAGCCTAACCTACCTTACAGGGTTGTTGTGAGGATAACATGGGGGGTAGGACTATGTGAGCCACCTTGGGCTTCTTGAAGGAAAGATGGGCTATAAGTGCAACTAACAAATGACATAACCCCACACATCCCTCTGAAAGCAACTCCTGAAGGCTGACAGGTCTGCTGGAATTTTATAGGATGAATTGCACGAGGCTCTGGCAGAACTGGGAGGAGAAGAATTTGGCAGGCCTTTCCTGAACAAGGGGAAGGACTTTTCTCTCACACAAGACATTTCTGGATCAAAGCCACGAATTATATAAATTACTGTGGTAGACCGAATTTATCTGTAAATTGCCTAGGCCATAGCACATACACAGGAAGTGGAACAAGATTGCTCAGAAACACTACAATGACTTTTTGTGATAAGAACACCCTCCTTGCTCAATGCCTATGGCTTTTTTTAAAAAAAAACCTTTTGCAAAGAAACTGAGGCATGACAATGTTGAGTTAGCTAATCTGAGTTACTTGATCCCTGTTCACTTCCCACTTGCCTGGCGGGTGTGAAGAAGGAATTTTTTCCCTTTGCGTTTGACGGCAACCCAACTGCCCTTCAAAATTCATGCGTCTCCAAATTTTGCCATGCACTTCTCCAGCGCCAAAACACATACAGAAGAGCATATGTCAGAGGGAAGTGCACACAAATGGTTAGTGAAAAATATATACAAAAATGCATATTGTTACAGGCCACCTTAATCTCTGCCAAGCGGTAGCAAAACTCCAGGAGAGGGTTCCAGGCAGTCGCTCAGGGTTGTGTTTTTGCTGGAAAATCGAGGAACAGCCAAGTCTGCAGTGTCTTAAAAATATGGCTTATTCACACATATTTACATCTGAGTTTTATGGAGGGAGAGTTCATAGCATTTACATTTCAAGTGGGGCTTGTCCTGCCCAGCAGCGCAGCATTGGATTCAGAGACATCCTAAGGGCTATACCCATGTTTCTTTGTAACAGCCTGCTCCAGCCAGCCAGGGTGTCTTCTGCCCTTCTGTCCCCACACAGATTTCTGCCCACTTCCTGCTCCTCCTTCCCATAACCCCCTGCTTCAAAAACCTCTGTTAGTACACCCTCTCTTCCTGTGGTGACATCATGCCTCCTGTTACCCTGGCAACCGCCTTCTCTCAATTCTTCTGTTTCTGTCCACTTCTCAGCTGGAGGAAGGACAGCATCTGCATGGTCAATTGTTCTTAATGGTCTGGTACTTAGTTGTCCTTGTTTTATAGCAAGGATCTCCTGAACAGCTCAGGAGATCTGGTTCAGCCTGCATTTTTCACCTGCCTGCCACCTTCCCTTCACACTCCAAAAATCCCCTTTCTTAAATTTAGGATTATGGGGAATCTGCCCTGCCACCACAAATTCATAACCATATGGCAGGGGAGATGGCTTGCAAAAAGAGGTATATTAGGAGAAACGGCTTATCCACATTAAAGAAAAATATTGAGGAAAAATATGTATGTATGCTTTTTTCAGTCTTTAGCACAGGAGAAATTTACATGTGGATTTTAAAAATAAAAAAGTGCAAACTGCTCTAGAAATGGAGCAAACTGTGCTAAAGACTGAAAAAAGCAGAACACGGGAATATAGGTTAGAATGCAAGAAGCAGTCATATATTGAGTCTGAGCAGGTCCATCTAGGTCAGTATTGTCTACATTGACTGGCAGTGGCTCTTTATAGGAGAAACTGAGAGGAACCAGCATGGGCAGGTTTCTTCATCTTTGCTGTGTGCCAAGTGCTCGTCTGAGTAACTCTGAGTCAAGGCAAACAGGATGGTCCAATGCAACTGTTTTTGCTTTCTAGTTGCATTCACTGAATGTCTTTGTGCTCTGGCCATCTTCATGCATTTTATCAGGGTAGTAATGGATCCCTGAATATACTTATTCAGTCAATATTTCCTTTGCATTGGGGGCAGAAGGGCCATTTGAACAATGAAACCATTTACTTACTTTTTTGGCTATCCCCATTGTGTGGGATTAGGCCTCCAGAAGTATAGTGAAGAAGATGCTTTGATTTAAAGATGGAGATTGTGATGGGTAGCAGGAAAAGAAACTGTCCTTTTGGTGCCCAGACAAAACCAAATTTTATGTGCCTGTTTCCAACAATAAACTATGCAAACCTGGACTACCACAATTCTCTAGTTTTGTAGTTTCTTGCAGTGCTTCAGCGAAACTATAGAGGGCAAGCTGAATGAGACCCACAGTCTGATCCCATGCATATTTAGTACATACTTAGAAATCTATCAATTTCAGTGGCTTCGATTTCCAAGAATGTGTGTGTGTGTGTGTGTGCATCCTGATTGTTTTTGTCTTTGTTTTCACGTTTCTCTCCAAAGCATCCAGTTTGCTTTGGAGTCCCTGTGTAAGCAAAACCACTTGGTTTCTGAGGCTTTTCTGTGAGGAAAGTGAGTTGTTAGCAATTAAAACGATGGGTTTTTCAAGAAACTGCATGGGTCCGATCCAAAACCCATGGAAAGCCATGGGATTCTTTCTGTCAACTTGTGTGCTCTCCAGATCATGCGCCCAGCGATTAGGGACTTCAGAACAGCTCTGATGCGTTTCGCAAAAGCCATCCAAGCCGAGTTTTAGAATGGACTCACATGCTGTCAAAGTTGATGACTCAGAAGTAAACTTTCTTGCAGTGTCGCTCTTGAGAAACAAATGCCTTCCCTTTCAGTAAGCGATACAATATTTCTGGCTCATGAATGGCAATACCAGATTGCATTTTCAGTCTTCCTTTGGCACGGGAGGAACTTTGTGTAATGGTCTGCTTAACTACTCAGGGTCTAGTTTGAGCAGCCTACACGGAGATGTTCTTTGTTTCTTTTGTAAACCTTCAGGATGCAGCTTTTTAATGACGTGCGGAACTTTGGGACATTAGGAGATGGAACATAACCGCTCAAAGCTGTTGGGTTTGTCACTTTGGATTTGTTACATAAGGCCGTGTTAATGTGAATGAGGCTTTTTGATTATACAGCGCAGACTGTGGGAGAAATTCTCTGATGTCTGTCTAAAGCAGTGAGCAGACTCCTTGATTATTAACATATTGGTTGTATTCCTATTTCAGACATTTGCTTAGAAATATGGGAACAGCTAGGAGACCGGGTGATGGGGGGGGGGAGAGAGAGAGAGAGCAAGATATTTGAAGATTCAGTCTAGAAAACCAGCCTAACACAAAAGAGTGTGTGTTCTTAGGTTGTACTTTTCCTTGCAAGTAAAATTGGGAGAGCTGGTGATTATTTTTTTTACAGTCTTTGCCTGCTGTAGTCATACTGTTTACAACTGCACTTTCTCTCTTTAAAAAAAAAATAACACACACACACACACACACACACCACAACAACGGGAATCATTCTCACCAGTGAATGAATTTGAGTACTGTAGGCTTGAAGTTTGGACCATAAAGAAGGTTGATCGCCGAAGAATTGATGCTTTTGAATTATGGTGCTAGAGGAGACTCTTGAGAGTCCCATGGACTGCAAGAAGATCAAACGTATCCATTCTTAAGGAAATCAGCCCTGACTGCTCAATGGAAGGACAGACTGTGAAGCTGAGGCTCCAATACTTTGGCCACCTCATGAGAAGAGAAGACTCCCTGGAAAATACCCTGATGCTGGGAAAGATGGAGGGCACAAAGAGAAGGGGACGACAGAGGACGAGATGGTTGGATAGTGTTCTCGAAGCTACAAACATGAGTCTGACCAAGCTGCAGGAGGCAGTGGAAGACAGGAGTGCCTGGCGTGCTCTGGTCCATGGGGTCACGAACAGTCGGACACAACTAAACGACTAAACAACAACAACAGGCTTGAAGTTTCACTGGCCCACCCACTGTGTATGGATGGCCACTTTGGGTTCGGCAGAACTGCTTTATACCATTCTTATACCATTCTTAGAAACTGCCTGGCTCAGCCATGCCACTCTGATGGTGTGACACTCTCATCCTAACCCTACCTCACAGGGTTGTTGGGAGGATAAAACAGGGAAGAGGAGAAGTGTTTGTCAGCACCAGCTCATTGGAGGACAGGTGGCTTCTAAATGTATTTAATTAATTCATGGCTGTTACAGTACAATGCCAAGACTTCCGCTCAACAGCTTTCCCTTAAACGACTTTCAGTTCCACATAGCTCTCCTTTGTGTGCCAATCTTCTTTTCCCCAAATGTTTCTGTACATTTTCTCTTCTATTTCTGATTCTCATTGACTGGTCTTAAAATACTGGTAGTCCTCAGTCTCCATTCTCCACCCACAAAATGGGAGTGGTAATGACCTACTCATCTGTAGGGGAAAATATTGAACTTAATTGAGTTTGGAATGAAATGAATTTGCTAATTAAAGATGCTATATAAACAGCATATGTATATAGAAAGTACAAATGAATAAATAATCCTTTCACAATTGTAGCTTCTGTGAGATAGATGCTAGATAGATAGACAGATAGATGATAGATAGATGATAGATAGATAGCTATAGATAGATAGATGATAGATAGATAGATAGATAGATAGATAGATAGATACATAGATAGATAGATGATAGATAGATAAATATAGATAGATAGATACCCACTTATATGCCATAATGTTCAAATTGAGGGAAATGCTTGCCTGAACAGATGTTTCTTCAAGAGCTGGCAGAATGCCAATATGGATTAAGCCTCTCGTATTTCATCAGGGAGGGCCTTCCACAACACTGGTGTCATGAGTGAAAAATCCCAACACTGTGTTACCACAAATTGATAACCAGTGCTTTTTTTGTCAGGGGGCGCTCAAGGGCACACAATACCGGTGCCTCTTTTTGTTATTGTTAAAAAGTGTGGCACTTACGGTAAGAGCTTCATGATGAGTACCAGCATCTGTCTCTTGTTGTTGTTAAAAAGTTCGACATTTACTGCAGGCACTTCATGGTGAGTACCGGCATCTATTTTTCTTCGGGGGGGGGACACCATCACAACCAGTGGGTCTTTGCAAAACTAGCTAGGCAAAATTTGGGTCCTTCTCCTTTGCTTCTTATCAAAGTGCTCTCTCTCTCTCCCTCTCTCTCCCTCTCCTTCTCCCTCTCATAGCTCTTCATGCCTATGCAGCGGAGCAAATGGCAAGCTTTCTTTTGCAAAAGTGGTGACAAAAATCTGACACATTAAATCAATGACAGCAAAGATTCTCAAGACTCTAAGAAATCTGGGAAATATGTCAAGCATCTACTATCTGGGCACTACAGTCTTGCTTGAAACCTACCTGGAGGCTAAACAGCTGATTAGAGGTAGGAACATGCTTAAGTGCCTTGCTGGGGGATAGGGGAGAAGGTGCTGATGCAGCTGCGCCATCACTTGCCATGCAGCTCAGCGTCGCCTTTTGCAACTAACAAGAAGTTCTTCATTTTCCAAGCTGCGCTGATGGCTGCAGAGCAAAGAATCCCAAGCCTCTGACCACACACTAAAATAGTTTCTCAGGACGAGTCATAGCAATCTTAAATGTTTTTGGTCGGAAATAACTTCAGAGGGTATTGGTTGCTGCTGTATCCTGTCCCCAGTTCCTTACCAGCTCACAGCGCTTTCATTTTGATTAATAACACTGCACATTTTTGGATGTCTTAGTCACCGGAGAAGCAGCACATAGCTTTGGTGCTACTCAAGTGTATTCTCTGCCCCGCCCCGGGGGGGGGAGGGAGCTTATCACTTGCATTATTTTACTGTTAGGATTGTTTGGTGTGTTTTTTTTTAAGAAAGAAAACAGAAAGAGCTTTCACTTTTCACTAGTTTGTGAGCCCACCCTGCATTTCCCCTGGATGGGCTGATGTTCATTAGGTAGGACACATGCTAGCACTAATGTGGAAAGTTAGAAACCAAAGACAACTTGTCCCTGTGCCCAAAAGTGACTCATTGTCCCTTTCCTTGCTCCAGCCAAAAGCAGATTCAGAAGCTGTGAGAGTTTCCTGAAGATAAGAGATAACTCAAAGGAAAACCTGGCAAAAAGAACGGAGGGGAAAAAAGATGATGGTCTCGTTTCAAGATAGCATTTCCTTCAAAGCCCCTCCATGCTAATTAACCATTCTGTGCATATTTTCAACCACATTAAGGGATTTCCTCATCAAAATAAACTTCCTCCTTTGCTATCTTCTCTCTCTCTCTCTTGGCATCTGGGATTGCAGTTTTGCTGCAAGAATCAGGGTTAAAGAGCCGAATGCTGCTTGTATGTGTGTGTGTTTATATATTCATTGAAGCCTTGCCAGGCTAGCCCTAGAATCCCAGCGCCTGATCCAAATCCTATTTCGGCTAATGGGATCTTTGCTGTGTACTTCAAGGGAGGAGAATCGAGCTCCTAGCCTTGTGTGTCCAGATTGTTTCACTTACGCTGCATAATGTGCTGCTAATAAACTGCAGATGGACTCCAGCCGAAAAATTCCAATGCCAGGCCATTTGCAAAACTTGAAGGTGTTCACACCTACAAATGTATCCCGAAAACAAGCTGCTTATTTATAGCATGCATGCACCCAAGAGCAATTGTCTGGCTGAAAAGCACACTAATAAGGTATAATTTATTTTCGTTTTTCCCCAGCGTGGGATGCCACTCATGATCTTATATGTTTTCTCTTATCACAGTATTCAGCTATAAGCACTCGTCCATCATTTCCACCCAAGCATTGACTGAAATATCCTGAGTCCATTTAACTGAATAATCCTTAACTTGTGCTGACTCAGTGCCATGTTTTAGCAGGATTCGCCGCCCCCCCCCCCATTTATAGGATTAATATTGTTGAAATTAACTTTTCAAATTCAATCAATGTACGGTATATGTTTTAAAATATCCAGTCAGAAGGGATCTGATTTGAAAATATTGATCCCAAAGAAGGCTCTTCCCATTAGTCCTTTTATTTGACAATGCAGTATCATTCCATTTTGTTTTGCCAAATCTTTATATCTGAAAGAATTATTCTTTTTCCCCAGATCTGTTTTAATTAACTGTTATATTGTGCTTTATTGTTGTAAACCACCCTCAGAGTTATATAAAAGGCAGTATAAAATATTTTGAATAAAGAAATAAACATACAAATCTTTGCCTGCAAATAGGTCTGAAATTTAATACATATGTAAGTATGTTTAGGCTGTGCCTAATATAAAGTCCTCACAAAGTGGATTACGTGAAACAAGAATATACAGCATAAAATACACTATCACAATGGGGCATACAACAACTCTTCAAAAATCCAGCAGCAGGCCAGTATCATACCATGAAAACCACCTAACACAACTTCAGATCAGCAGAAAAAGTTGCTTTAAGAAAAAGTGGCTTGAGATAAATCCTGTGTAAATGATGGAGTCTTAGACACAGTAGCTGGGAGGGAGTTTCACCAGTATGGGGACAACACCAAAAAGGTCCTGCTTCTTGTGCCTACCAAGGCATCACATTACTACAGTAATGATTTATGATGCCACATAGGTACCAACACCTTTAAAGAAAGGATCAAAGGCAGAGTAAAGCTGAGATAGTTTGTAACACTATCTCAGGTTCCCTCTGCCTTTCCTCCTGAGGGCAGAAAAATGTGTTTCTGTTGGTGATGGGGACAACAAGTGAAAGTCTCAGGGTCCCCAACTTTCAGTTCCTTCTCTTTCAGCTTTAAGATGATGCTTCTCTGCTGTCTATACCAGCAGATAGTTTCAAGAGAATAAGGCAGACAGACATGGGGAGATTTTGTTCTGCCGGCAGTATCAATCATAGACGATGCTGCATAAATGATACCTGCTTGACTGTAAGCCAATTAATAATTGGTGATGATGTATTTGTTTATTGCACGAACGTGAAGAAGAAATTATATGATTTTTAAAAATGCACACTGTTAAATTTGTGCTCACGTGATAGTATAGGAACTTCGTAAGTTGCCTAAAGGGTTCAGTGTAGGCAACTCATAAATCTAATGGATAAATACATATAATTTAACTTGATTAGATTTTTCAAGTTGAGCTGGAAGGGTTGGAAGATAAGAATTACTATACTAGAGGACTTCGTAAGGCTATACTATACTTTTAAAGAACAGTTTAATAAGGTTTTCCATAGCAAAACAACAACAACAACAAAAAATTAAAAACCCAGAGTATATATACATTCAGTTACAGCACATGCAAGAGCAAAACAAGTAGACAATAGAAAATCTCCTACAAATATACAACCCATAATTTACAAACACTAAGTGAAGCAGTCAGGGAACCATCATATAAGTAATCAATTAGCCAAGCATAAAGGGAAGTTAACTCACTAAGCCTATAATGTCACTGCATAAAGCCACATGAGTTGAGGGAGAAACCGAGTCATGCTCTATGACCAAAACATATGCAATAAAACAAAGCCATTTCACATAAAACCTACTTTCCCCCCTCCTTGGATTCTTCCATTTCCTCAGCTGAAAAGTTAGTCTTTCCATAAGGGCCACCAAGCAAATATGAGAATGTCACTCCTTCATCAAATTGGCTGTTAAGAATTCCCAATTTCACTACCACCATAGAGACTGCAAAGATCACCAGTGTCGAAGCAATGATTCTTCAGCATCAACTTTGTTGGACTGGTCATGTTGTGTGGATGCCTGATTATCGTCTTCCAAAGCAATTACTCTATTCCAAACTTTAAAATGGGAAGTGTAATGCTGGTGGTCAACAAAAGAGGTTTAAAGACTCTCTCAAGGCAAATCTAAAAAAATCTAGTATAAACACTGACAACTGGGAAACACTAGCCAATATTGGAGAACAGCCTTTACCAAAGGTGTCATGGACTTTGAAAAGGAAGGCACATTTGGCAAACCCTTACTGTGATCAACTCCTGCCCGGAAACCTTGTCCCCACTGTGGAAGGATGTGTGGATCCAGAATTGGCTTCCACAGTCACTTATGGACTACTCACTATTAAGACCATATTCATGGAAGACAATCTTACTTGGCTATGAGTGATCGCCAAAGAAGAAAAAGAAGAAGACTAGACCGCAATAAAAAAGTAAACCAACAAACTCTTTTTGTTTCCATCATCTGAGTGCCATAAGTGGATCTGGTGTCAACAGCTGCCCCATAATCAATCAGAGATCCTTTTTGACAATTACCTGCTTTACAGTTTCTGATGAAAATGCACAGGAGCTTAAGGTCCTATGATGATCTGTAAAACTGAATAAATTAGCATTAATTGTTGTCATTTTCAAAGGCACTTGTTTTCAGATACGCCCTCGTGAATAAATGCAACTATTCTACTATCAAAACAAAATAAGTGGAATTAAAACAAAAACAACAAATAATGAGTATGACCTGAAAATCTCAAATAATTCTATAGTAAATGGTAAAAGATTTCTGGCCTCCTTGCAAGGAAAAATCTGTGGAAGAATATAACACCATCGAATCTTCAATGCTGTTTCACTTGTGGTTTATGTTAAATATTAAATCATTGTCAAATTATTATTATTTTAACATCCCACTTATGCATGTACTCCAGGATGACTCATTGCTCATCACTTAAAGTTACAATGATCTGAAATTTACAAAGGGAATTAAGCTTAGAACCGCAATCTGCCATTGTTTTGTTAAAAGCAACCACTTAGGGCTTTGAGGTTGACTAAGAATTACTGCAGAACACAGCACACAAAAAACTCTTTCATTGCTCATAACCAGCAGAGGTGAATTATTAAGAACATAAGACGAGCCTGCTGGATCAGGCCAATGGCCCGTCTGTTTCAGCATCTTGTTCTCACAATGGCCAACCAGATGCCTGTGGGAAACCTGCAAGCGGGATTTGCGCACAAGCGCCCTCTCCCCTCCTGTGGTTTCCAGCCCCTGGTATTCAGAAGCACTGCTGCCTCCAACTGTGAAGGCAAAGCACAGACATCATGACTAGCAGCCTTTGATAGTCCTCCTTCCATGAATTTGCCTCATCCTCTTTTAAAGTCATCTAGGTTGGTAGCCATCCCTGCTTTGAGTTCCACACTTTATGCAGTGCATGAAGAAATTCTTTTATCTGTCCTGAATCTTCCAACATTTAGCTTCATTTGATGTCCATGAGTTTTAGTGTTATGCGGAGGGGATTCTTCTTCTTCTTCTTCTTCTTCTTCTTCTTCTTCTGTCGTTTAGTTGTGTCCGACTCTTCGTGACCCCATGGACTAGAGCACACCAGTCGTCCACTTCCTCCCACAGTTTGGCCAAACTCATGTTGGTAGCTTCGAGAACAATGTCCAACCATATTGTCCTCTGTCGTCCCCTTCTCCTTGTGATGTCCACAAGTTTTAGTGTTATGCAGAGGGGATTTTCCTTATTATTAATAATTATTAATTATACCCCGCTCACCTGGCTGGGTTTCCCCAGCCACTCTTGGTAGGCTGTCATTATCCAATGAGTCCTATTCACTCCTTTCCTTCTGTGCAATTAAGAATCACATGACGGGGAGAATGGAGTGATGCCCAGCGGCCTCCTTTTGGCAGGACCTGCCCCATTTATCCACACGTTGGGGAAGCTTCTGGAATGGGGCGTAAACTCCCTACAGAAATTATTCCAATGCTGTGGGGAGCAGCAGGAGATGTGACAGCAGGACCCCAATGAGCATGGCCCCTATGTCTCCTTCAAAAAAATTTTATTGCAAGAGGGGGAAAGGGGTAAACTAAGCTCTGGTTTTATTTCATAGCATAATTATCCCTTCCCCACAGTCTTCTTGCACCTGATTCTTCTGTAAGCAGACCTCAACATAACATATCCACAATATAATTGTAGTGAAGACAGTGATTCCAACTTTGGTTATGTCAAGATTCTGCATCATGTGAGCATGTGTTAGATTTATGTACGTCCATTTACTATGTGTCAGCTATAAAAGAAAAGAAAAGAAAAGTCAATCCCATGCTAAGAACTACAGTGGTACCTTGGTAGTAGAACGGCTTGGCTCCCAAACAAATCGGCCCCCAAATGTCACACACCCAGAAGTGAGTGTTCCAGTTTGCAAACTTTTTTGGAAGCTGACTGTCTGACAGGGCTTCTGTGGCTTCCAATTGAGTGCAAGAAGCTCCTGCAGCCAATTGGAAGCCACACTTTAGTTTTTGAACTGTTTCGGGAGTCGAACAGACT